ATCTCTTACCCTTTGAGACAGCATGATGGGACCAGGAGAGTATTATGTTAAGCAAAGTAGGCCATTCAGAGAAAGACAAGTGTCACATGATCTTACTCATATGTGGAATCTAATAAACAAAATAAACTGACACACAAAATAGATCCAGAGACTTGGAAGCATAGCACAGACTGATGAATCTCAGAGGAAAGGCAGAGGTGGTGGTGTGGTGGGGAGAGATTAATCTAAGAACTTATATGCATATATGTATAACCCATGGACACAGACAATAGTGTGGTGAGGGCCTGGAGGGGGGGTACAGGGTAGAAAGAATCAATGGGGAAGAAAAAGGGACATCTGTAATACTTTCAACAATAAATGTAATTTTTTTTAAAAAGCAAGCACACAAAATTAATTAATTAATTAAAAGAGCCCAGCCGGGCATGGCTCAGCAGTTGAGCATCAACCTAGGATCCAGGAGATCGGGGTTCAATTCCCAGTCAGGGCACATGCCCGGGTTGTGGGCTGCAGCCGATCAATGACTCTGTCATCATTGATGTTTCTATCTCTCTCTCCCCCTCTTTTCCTCTCTCTGAAATCAATAAAGATATATTTTTTAAATTTAATTAAAAGATATAGATACATATCAAAGTAAGCAGTTTGTAGCTGCGTAAATATCCAATAAGTCCATAGTAATATTCAAAGTAAAGCAATTATCAGAATTACAATAGAATGAATTTTAAAATTCAATATAATACTCACCTTGGGGACAAAAAAACTTTAAATTTAAAAAGCATTTACAATGATGAATGATTAAAGCAGATTCTTACTTAGCAATGCACAAAAATCTCCTTCATGTCACTGGGTTGTGCCACCACATCATTAGTTAATCTTTAAACTTCTACTGACTTTCCTACATTCTCTCCAACATATTCCCTGACAAAAAAGCAGGCTGAACTAGTCAAAAAAATAAATAAATAAGTGGAAAATCCAGGGCTAGCTAAGCCTGCCTGCAGGAGTCAAACCAGAAATCCAAGGACCATCCCCAAGAAACCTGCTTGCACTGGAAAAATCCAAGATGGCACCTGAAACCCCATCTTCCCAAGCCAGCATTTGAGGAACTTTTCTTCATTAGCATACTAAAAATCATGCCCAGGGGTGGAGATTTAACGTTAAAATGAGACATTCGATGTATAGCTAGATATGTTCCAAACATATTTGGGAACTGCAAATGCTTCTGCACTAGGGGCTGGCCCTACCCCTGCAAGGTCCAGGACCTTTCGAGCGTCAGGCGACCTCCAGGTCTTTGACTTGCCCAGGAAAAATTTCAAGGAAGAATTGAAGTGAGAACAAAGCAAGTTTTATTCAGGTAGAAAAAAGGAAAAAGGCCAGGGTGCGGGCACCATTGTAAAAGAAGCAAAAAGTATGCATCCAAGTGGACAGAGGCCAACTGGCAAATGAGGTGCTCTGTGGTCAGTTAGTTCTTGGGATTTTGTTTCCACGAGGAGGAATTGTCTCCAAGCTTTGTGGTGCCAAGTTCTGACTCCGCCTTCTGGTTGGGAGGAGGCCTTGTTGTGGTTACTTACATGACCAACACAGGATTTTCCAACCTTTAACTTTCCCTTTGATCATGCCCAGAGGTGGGGGCTCTGGTGAGATGAAATGGGCTCCTACTTCCTCACTCCACTTGTCAGGATCTTTCCGGAACTTCTTTTTTTTTTTTAATTTTACTTTTGTTTAAAATATTACAGATGTCCCTTTTTCTCCCCAATGACCCATTCCACCCCGTTCCTTCCCCCTCCCCAGTCCCTCTCCCCACCATTGTCCATGTCCTTGGGTTGTGTATATATGCACATAAATTCTTTGGTTACTCTCTCCCCCTCCACCCACCCGCCTTCCTCCATCCCTCTGACATTCATCAGTCTCATCTATGCTTCCATGTCATTGAATCTATTCTGTTCATCAGTTTATTAAGTTCTTTAGATTCCACGTATAAGCGAGATGTGTGATATTTGTCTTTCTCTGCCTGGCTTATTTCACTTAACATAATATTCTCCAGGTCCATCCATACTGTCCCAAAGGGTACGAGATTCTTCTTCTTTACAGCTGTGTAGTATTCCATGGTGTAAATGTCCCACAGCTTTTTTATCCCCTCATCTACTGATGGGCACTTGGTCTGTTTCCAGATCTTAGCTATTGTAAACTGTGCTGCTATGAACATCGGGGTACATATATTTTTTCTGATGAATGTTTCAGGATTCTTAGGATACATTCCTAGGAGTGGAATCACTGGATCAAATGGCAGCTCCATTTCTAATTTTTTGATCCGGAACTTCTTTCTCTCCTGCCTCACATTCTTCTTTAGGAATCCCAACCCCTGAATCCCTCCTACCACACACCCCCGAGACCATTTAATACTTTCCTGATTTCCCAGAATCAAGGAGAATGAATCATTAGGCATTCAGTTATCTTTCTCCATTCCTTGGCCAAGGAATAAAGTTTCTGACTTGCTTTGCCCAATACTGTCTCATCCTATCAATGTGAGCAACACCCAGCAGGATGACCACTATTAGGGATGAGGTGCTTTTTGTTGTAATTGCCTAGCCCAGAGGACGAAGGGAGGGCTAGGGAAGGAATGCCTAGTTACTAGCTAGCCCAACTGAACTTTTTCTATGAGCTTTTCAACCCCATGATGCCTTAATGCAACCATGCCACCTCAGACTGGCACTGGGCCAGTCCTCCCACTTTTCTACTCTGTGGTGTTTACAGGACAGTTAATGAGCCTTCCAAAAAATATGAGGGAAAAAGACACAATTAGAAAGCCCTACCTCAGTTTACCCTCCATCTGTGGCCTCTGACCTTTTCCCACTCTAAGCCATCTCATCCCCCAATGGAGACCAAACAATCAAGAGTTTTATTGCTAACTCAGCTGGCGTAGCTCAGTGATTGAATGTCGACCTATGATCCAGAAAATCGCAGTTAGATTCCTGGTCAGGGCACATGCCCAGGTTGTGGGCTCGATCCTCTGTAGGGGGCTTGCAGGAGGCAGCTGATCAATGCCTCTCTCATCATTGATGTTTCTATCTCTCCCTCCCTCTCCTTTCTTTTCTCTGAAATCAATAAAAACTTTTTTTTTTAATATATCTTTATTGATTTCAGAGAGCGGAAAGGATAGGGAGAGAGATAGAAACATCAGTGATGAGAGAGTCATTGATCGAGCCCACAACCCAGGCATGTGCCCTGACTGGGAATCGAATCCCGATCGCCTGGATCCTAGGTGGATGCTCAACCGCTGAGCCACACCTGGCCGGGCAAGACATATTTTTTTTAAAAAAAGAGTTTTGTTGCTAGAAGCAGTCCTGAAATCCGAATACCTCCTCACCTCTTCTGTGGCACTTGCAGGATTGGGTTTAGGGAAGGAAGCTAACAACTATAGTTGGTTAACCATCTTCATCTAAAACCAGCTATTACTTTACATTTTAATATTAGACATTTTAAGTCATTACTAACAACAATAACAAATATATATAGCACTTATCCCGTGACAGGTGTTAATCTAAGTGCTTTACATATATTAACTCATTTAATTATCATAGCAATCCAGTGAGTTAGATACCCTAGTTATCCTGGGTTTACTTGAGTAGACAGAGGCACAGAAAGGTTATGTGACTTAAAAAAGGTCACATAGGTACTAAGTTGAGAAGCCAAAATTTGAACCCATAAAGCCTGACTTTAGAGTTTGCACTCTAAAAGGCTGGTGTTCTTAACTATTCTACAATTCTACCATTAATTAGAATCTATATCCATCTCTTAAAAACAAGAACTCTTTTCTTTCCTGTCCCTCCCCTCATCTCCAATGTTTATATTACCTGGAATTTTAGTTCAAGATTGTAATTTTAAATCTAAAATCAAAAATTTTTTTTGTTAATCCTCACCCAAGAATATTTTCCCCATTGATTTTTGTTTTTTAGAGAGTGGAAAGGAGGGAAGGAGTGGGGGGAAGGAGGGAGAGAGAGAGAAGGAAACATCAATGTGAGAGACACATATCGATTGGTTGCCTCCCACATGCACCCCAAACAGGGCCAGGGATCAAACCTGCAACCCGGGTACATGTCTTTGACAGGAAATGGAACCCTCGACCCTTTAGTGCTTGGACTGACGCTCTAACCATTGAGTCACACTGGGCAAGGCTCAAAACTTAGGCTTTTCAATAAATTTTACTATTTTTCCCCTCACCATTGCTTATTGGAACTCCCTCCTTTCTCCTAAGTTCATTTTTTTTCTACTTGCTGGATGACATACTCTAATAATCTTTTCAGAAAGGGTATGTGTGTGATGAATTTTCAGAAATATTTTTCTCTCATATGGATTCTCTTGGCTGGATATAGACATCTAGGTTCAAAGTTACTTCTCATCATCTCTTTGAAGCACTTCATTGTATTCTTTCCTCTTTTCTCTCTGGGACCTTGCAGAATCTTCTCCTTATCCTTTAGTATTTTATCTTAAACCTAAAAATTTTATTTCTTGGATGTGCATGTGTGTATTGATCATGCTCAGAACTCAGTGACTCTTTTCAATTTGAAGATTCAAGTCTTTCTTCACATAATTTTCAATTGTCAGATTATTCTTTTGATTTTTTTCCAATCAATTAGTAATGTGCAACCATTCTTAGTTCAGGGGCCAAAACTTGGCAGTGGGCTGAATTTGGCCTGTGGGCCATAGTTTGCCCATTCTTGTGCTAGAACATCAATTCCAGGGATAATTGTCTGCTTAATTCAGTGCTGTATCCCCAGAATACTAGAACAGTGCCTGGCACCTAGTAGGCTCTCAATAGATGTTTCTGAAGTGAGGAAGTGAATGAAACAATGAGCTGGGTAGCAAGTTACTGAAGGAGTGGGGAAGTGAGCAAACATATGAGAGCCAGCTTAGCACTACTCTCAGGGCCTCAGTTTACCCCTGTCTGAACCTAAGCAGGCTCCACCAAGAAGTCTTAGAAGAAAATCAGAAGGCTGAGGCCAGAGTTGCAATTCAGGATCTTTATTCTTCCCTTTTAACTTGAGGGTAATTCTGCCAGGAGGAGGCAGAAAGGACTGGGCTGGGCAGGGGTTCCCCAAGGGCCTGGCCTCCTGACCATGATTCAAGCTCAGCATCCCTGGGGAGGACAGTGAGTGGACCACTCTGCAGCCTCTGCAATCCCCTACCTCCAATAGCCATGTTAATGGGAAACAGCCACCTTCACACACCAGGCAGGAGGGACCTGGGAGAGTGCCCCATCTTCCTCCATACACACAGGCACATGCATGCAGGAGTCTAGCTGAAGCAGGGCATGGTCAGTGTCCAGATACACGGCTCTGGCCTGTGGCCCAGTTGATAAACATGAAGCCTAGACTGATTGCCATGAAGAGGATCCCCAAGACACCAAAACACAGAGCCTATGGACAAGAGGGAGAGAAAGTGAGACTGGATGTGTCACCACAATGGAGCTCCTTCTGAGAATGTTCTTCAAGGCCCTCCAGAGAGTCCCCATTCATTTCTGACCCTACTTTGTGCTCCCTCTCTTTCCTTAAAACCAGCCCATTCCTGTGAATCTTCCTTCCATCTTCCTAGAACCCTTTAGGGAGTACTCTCCTCCATCCTCCTTGAAAGTTCTCCTGACTCTCTTCTAATAGTGCACCTTCCATCTGGAGAATGCTCCCTCTATGCCAGTCCCTTACTGAGTGTCTCCTCTGTCTTCCCAGACCCTGCCAGTGCTCTCTTTGCTCAGCCCCTCCTTAAGACAATCTCCTTCATTCTTTCAGACTAACCACCTCTCTTCCTGGATGCACCCTCTTCCCCCAGGCCCCTCTCAAAAATGTTCCTTCTATCTCTAGCCATCTTGGAGTGCTCCCTCCTCAGAACATCTACCCTTTCACAGCCCTCCCCTGGAAATCTCACCTGGATCTTGGGCCAGGAGGAGAGGGACTCCACCTCAGAGGGTACAATACGGAGGTAGAAGACACTAGGAAGGATGAAGATGAGGCTGGGGGCTGAGGTGGACCCTGGAGGACAATCAGGAGGAATGGGAGTCAATGTAAGTTTGAGGTACAAGGCCCATATTAGATGGGGACTGGGGTTGAGGTACTGACCGATAACCCCAAAGATATCCCGGATGGTTGGCACATAGATGACAAGAACATTGACCAAGACAAGCAGGATCAGGGCTATGGCCACATGCCGTGGCCAGCTGAAGGCTTTGCTTGGGAATAGCAGCTGCTGCAAGGCCCGGCGAATCTGTAGCCAGAATAGGGTGGGGCACAAGTCAGGGTGCAAATGCTGCCTCCCCCTCCTTGAGGTCATCTGTCTTTGCCTCCATCCTCTCTGAGATTCCTGATTTCACTTCCATCTGACTATCTCCACCCTATCTGACCATCCATCTTTGCCTCCAACTTCTGAATGAGCATCCCCCTCCCTCCTGACAATCCATGCCTTCTCCTTCTGTCTGATTGTCCATCTATGCCTCTACACACTGTCTGAAATCTTCACCTCCTCCTCTACCTTACTATCTCTGTCTCCCCCTATCTGACCACCCACTTGCCTTTCCATCCTGTCTGAGATCCCTGCTTCTTTCCATCTGACTAACTCTCTCTCCCTCCTCTATCTAGTCATTCCACCTCCCCATATGAGAGCTTTGTCCCTCCTATATCTTACTACTTCTACCTCCATCCTTTTTCTGTCCATCCCTGTTTCTTCATTCTGATTGTCCATCTATGCCTCTACCCTCTGTCTGACCATTCTTGCTTCCCTCTTCTGTCTAGCCAGACATCTGTGCCTCCTCCTTCCAACTACTACCCCTGTCCTCCTGACTCTCTCCATCCTGCTATCTATTTTTGCCTTCTCTGTCCATCTGACAACTCTGCCTTCCCTGTCTGTCCACCTCTGCCTCCTTCATCCATCCGTTCATCCATTCCTATCTCCAACATCCATCCAAACATCTATGCTTATGCCTTCTACACATTCATCCATGCCCCACTGCTCCATGCCCCCCCTTTGCTCCCACGCACAGGGAACAGCACAACTGGCACAGTGAGAGTCACCGCGAGCAGCACCGCCAGGCGCACACAAAGGATGAGCAGGTCCTTCTGGCTGTACATTTGTAGCATCTCCGCCTTCACGCTGCCTGGAACATGGAACACAGGATGCTGGATGTGGCAGGAGAACCGGGACCAGTGTCCTAGACACACACACACACACACACACACACACACACACACACAGACAAAATCTCCATGCATGATGTATACCATCTCTTTGGAAACTGATGGGTCCAAAGGCATGGAGGGAAAGTACTCAGGCTTCTGCCCCAGCAGTCTTCCCAGTCCCCACCCTAGCTTCCACCAAACCTGGCTCCAGCTTCACTCACTATAGAAGGTGAGGTATCCAAAGGTGGCTGTAAGCCCATACATGCAGAACATGGCACCGATGGACACGTTGGCCACAGCCTGCATTCTGCGCTTGGAAGGCCTAAGGTATAGAGGTCATGGGATTGTAATGCCCATACCCCTGGACTTGGTCGAGGCCCCTCAAAACCAGCCTCCACCTTCCAGGGTCCCCTCCTCCCAGAGCTGACATTCAGCTGGTACTCAGTGGGATTCCCATTTTGGCCTCCCCTGTGTAATTAGCCAAGCCTCCCCTCTCTGTCCACCCATATCTCACCCCATATGACCATCTTTACCCATCTCCTCTGTCTGACCATCTCTGCCTCTCCCTTCCATCTGACTATCCATACCTAATTATCCACACATTCCCCCATCATATCATCCCTGACCCTCCTTTGTCCATTCATACCCCTATCCATCTGACCATACTCATCCATCATTGCCACCCCCTCCATCTGATTATCTCTGCTGCCCCACTCTGTCCATTTGCACCTGTACTGGATATTAAAGGAGTAAAATACTTAAGCCCCAATCAGTAAACAGTCACTTCCCTATATCTCCCAAGGCCTCCTGGCCATGTCAAACCCCTCCCTTGCCACAATCTACAATCAGCAATCAAGTGACAGTCTCAGAACTGCTGTAGGGATTGTCAGACATTATGACTATAACCCCACCTGTTGGTTTATCACACATGCCCACTTGCCTGTCCACTCACCGGCAGAGCTCCGTGTAGATGGGCAGCACCTCAGGGTGGCAGACAAAGGCAAAAGCCATAATGGGCACTGAGTAGAACATCTGGGGGAATGACCCAAGTACACGAGATTAGAGCCTACAGGGTCCCATCCCCTCATTTCCATCCCCCTGGCCCCACCACTGTTCTCCATATCAGATACTTGGAAGCCCCAATGTCCACCACATGGCTCCAGAAGGCCTGAGTGTGGTGAAAACCCTATCAGCCTGCACATCCACCTGTGAGTCCACTGTGAACATCTGAGCCTCACAGCTTCTGTTGAGCCCCAGTGGGCTCTTACTCTCTGCTGCTGTATCATTGCGGCCCACAGGACAGTCAAGCTGGAACTTCTTATAGATGACCTGAAGGAGGGAGGGTGGGGAAGTGAGCTTACAGGGAAGGCTGTGTTCCAACACCTCAAATTCTCTCCCCACTTTTTCAAGTCCTTCTGTCAGACTCACCGAAATGAGGAAAAACAGCATGCAGGTCAGAGAAAGACCACTGGTATACCCCAGGTAGCCTGCAAGGGGCAGTAACACAGAGACTCAGAAATCCAGGGACCACCCCTACAGCAAATATTAAACCCCCAGTCTGGCCTTCAAGACCCTCTCACCACAATTATGCCACACCTTTGCATAAGCTTTACTTCTTCCTGGACCAGCCTCCCCTCCAGAGCAAACTCCTATTCATCTGTTAAAACCCACAGCAAAAAAGCTTTCCCCTGGTGTTCAACAGCCCTTGAAAATGGGGATTCTCTCAATCTGGCTCCCCTTCTCTAAGCCCACTATCCAATGGCTAACACAAGAAGCCTCTTACCCAAGTGTCTCATGAGGGCCAGTGGCAGGATAATTAACACACTGACAATGATGATGAGGAGGTTTCCATTCAAGAACCAGCTCCTAGGGAGACAGACAAATATAGTGACTAGCTGCCTGCCAAAAAAAAACCTGTCAGGCAGACACTCATAGAAGGCAGCTAGACAGACAGATTTCTGCCCATAACCAGGACTGATGAGCTAACACCTCAACTGTGAGAAGTCATTCAGGTGGTTACAGTGATAGCACAACAAGATTGAAAGAAACAGCCAGACTGATTATCAGACTATCAGTCAGACACTGTCAGAGGGATATATCTGAGAACACATGCACAGTTAGACAAAACTGTGCTGTCAGACTCACAAGTGAACACACAACCAGATGGGTAAACAACACCCCAAGTCAGTCAGACTAACATAGTCCAACACAAGGTGCCAGCCACAGAGTGAGCCATTACCCTTGTGTCTGACAGGTAGAACAACAGTCTGATGATCTGGCTAGCAGGTAACGATGCAGAGTCAGACAAAAAGTCAGAAACGCACATGTGTGGTTGTTTGAACAGCTCAAGGTTTGTTGAACACCTGAAAGTAGCTGGGCCAATTTGGCCACATGGCCAAAGAGAAATAGAGACCATATGAATCAGCCAGCTGGCCACACAATGGGAACCAAGCTCAAAGAAAGAGTGGGATCTACACAGATATTGGAGGGAGGTGGTGAGGCAAGACAGTTAATAGACTCAGCTGAACAACTGCTCATTTGTTCAAAAGAATTTTATTGAGTGCCTACTATGTTCCATCTCATACACACAGTTACACAGATATAAACCAACAAAGCATCACTGGCCATATATACAATGGGAGCTACTTATAATAATTAGACACAGCTAGGCATATAGACTGCCAGCCACCTGGATGGTTTCAGAATCAAACCGAAAAATCTAACAAGATACACAGAGTCAACCATCATATACAAATAACTGAATAGATTCAGCCAGCAGATGGATCCAGAATAAAAAATGCAGTCATCTGGATGCATACTCATAACAATACAGAGGACATATATAGTCATAGTTGAGGTTCACATACACACACACAGCCATAGAGAATTTGCCAGAAAAATGGTCACTAAATTAAACAGAGATGGAGTTTACTGGCACATACAGTTGGAACAAATCACATATACATAGTTGGCACCACAGTACACAGCACAAACATACATACACACCTTTGGAGTCAATGGACACACACTTACAGCAAGACAGATTCAGCCAACCTGATGGACCCAGAATCAAACAGAATCTGAGTAAACAAATGTCAAACACACATGGTTGGGATCATAGTATACAGGACACACATTGCTGTAGTCGGCAATCACACAGCTGGCCAGAGAACCTGCCAGTACAACAGTCACAGAAGCCAAACCCACAGGCAGAGTTTAGATCTACTGGAGAGTATTCGCATGATCAGCATGAGAGTACACTGGACATAGAGATTCAGCCACCAGACAGTATCAACCATAACAACAGTCACAGAAATCAACACATAGTCTACTATACTCCTGTAGTCAGAGCAACAGTCACACACACTGCTGGCATCACAATACACAGAAATCACAGTCTGACCAAAGTGGCCTGCCCAATAGTCTCAAAGTAGAATACTTGGGACACAGAGTTGAAGATAGCAGCCAGGCCTGACAGGCAGAGTTAGTGGCCTGTGAACCAGAGCCAAGGGGTGTTGCTCACTCACCTCTCAGGGTCCATGTACAGGAAGGCACCAATAACCAGGGGGAGTTCGGATTTGATGATGAACAGGTAACTGGACATGGCTGGTGTGGGTGGGGGAAGGTATAAGCAAAAGGATTCCCCTTGTCCCCCTGCCCCGTTTTCCCCAGCCCAGCCTGAGGAAGCCCACCTCACCCCGCCCTCTTCCCCCAAGCTGATCCCCCACCTCCCAGAGTCCTCACCCCCAACATTGTGCAGACAGATGACCGCAGCGACCACTACCTTCCCCACAGGCCCCAGCGCCCTCTGTCCCAGCTGCTCATAGGCTCGGATGCCTGTGGGGGTGAGGGACAGGAAGGAACAGCTGTGGTCCAGGAATCCAGGCCAGGGGAGAGTTTGGGGTGCCAGAGGGTCTGGGAGCTGGGGAGTTGGGGTTTGGAGTAATTGAGTCTGATTGATGGGGGCTGGGGTGAGAGTTAAGTAGTTAGGATTTGGCTTAGGGGTGGAATCTGGGAAGTGGGATCTCTGGCCAGGAACTGTGGCCAAGGAGAAAGTTGGAGGTGGGCTGGAAATGGGTAGTGGGTGTCTTGGGAGCACATCACGTATACACAGTCTGAGACCACATACACATGGTCTGAGACCATGATGGGAGTGAAGTCTGAGATCTGGGGCAGAGGAAGCTTGGAAGCTGGGGTCTGAGAACTGGGGGTCTCAGGGTTGTACAGCTGGTTTTCATGGTTGAAGAGGTGGCTAGAGACTGAAAGGAGGGGTTAGAGATGGAGTGGAGTGGTCTGGGGATGGGGAAAGGTCTGAACAATGGAACTTATGGCCGGGCTGAGGGTTGGGGATTGGGAATTGGGGATCTAGGAGCCCAGATGAGGTCTGAGGGCCATTGCACAGTCTGGGATCTGGAGTCCAGGGAGTTAAGTGTGGGGCCTGGGGACCTGGGTCTGAGATCTGGGGTCAGGGTGGTATGTCCAGAGTCTGGGGTTTGGGTTGAAGTCTGGGGTATCAGGTCAGGGGAGTGGGTCAGTGGTCTGGATTGAGCTCTGGGGCTCACCTACAACACCAGCACAGGTCAGCAGAAGATGGATGGAGTATGAAGACAGAAGAGCAATGCACAGCAGCAGGACCCTGTGGCAGATGGTACAATTCATACTTGGCCCCAAGGCCTCCCGCCTGCCCCAAAACATACCTGCCCTCCCCAGACCACCTAGGACTCACAAGAAGAAGAGGACCCCTGTGTGGGCCATGGCATAGGCCAGCCCCAGGATGCCGCTGCCCATGATGGCATTGCTGAGGTTGAACACTGACATTCCAAATGATGTCTTCCCCTCGAACTGTGGGTAAGGGGCAAAATCCAGGAACACATGGGGAGGGAGTCCAGGTAAAGAGACCAGCTCTAGGGCTTGGGAAAGACTAGAGAGGAAGTGACTGGGACAAGAAGAAGCCCAGGAAGGGCCAGAGGAGAAACTAAGAAGTTAGGAAGGAAAAGGAGTTGAAGATGGGAAGAAACTGGGAAAAGGAGAGCCAGGAAGGGAAAAACTAGGAGAAAGTTTCGAGGGGAGCATCTATAAGTGGAGAGGAACAGGAGAGGGTAGAGCAGCTACCAAAGGAAAACAGCTGGGGAGGGGAGTAGCTGGAGATAAGGAGTAGCTAGGGCAGTAAATAACTAGGCCATGGAACAGCTAGGGAGTAGTAGTAGCCGTAGCCCCAAAGAGGGAAGAGGGAAGAGTAGGGGAGGAGATGAACTAGGCAAGGTGCAGCTGGGACAGATCCTGTAGGGTCACTCACATCCATGAACTGGGCTGGCTTCCTCCCAGGAGCAGGATTATGGCTGGGCAGGAAGCCCTCTCGTTCCTGCCTGTAGCTGGAGAGGGCAGAGAAATTAGGGCTGATGAGAAGGTAATCCTGACCCTCCCACCTCAACCCTTTGGGCCCTGACTCACCCCACAGCACCCGCAGGTAGGGCTCCATTTATCTTTGGATCCTGCAGTTCCATCCTGTGGGCAGAGAAATGGGTGGGAGTCAGAGATGGATCAGGGAGGCTACAAAGTGGTAGAGCTAGGTGGAGGGGGAGGGGTTCAGATAGAGACAGACAGGTAGAGAAACAGAAACAGAGATGAGGTGAAGGGAACAGGAACAGAGGGAGGACAGAGACAGGGAAATAAATGGAGAGAATCAGAGATAAGAGTGAGAGACTGAGGTGGGAAATATCAGGGGGATTGCCTTATAAAGTATATGATTGTTTAACCACTATGCTGTACACCTGAAACTAACACAAAATAATATTGAATGTAAACTATAATTGAAAAATAAAATTCAAAAAAAGAATGAGAAGCTGAGAGAGGAAGAGATGAAAGTGAGAAAAGGGCATCAGAGAAGGAGAGACGCCAACAGACAGACATAAATAGGGGAAGAGGCAGAGAGAGATAAACCAACCCCACAACAGCTGAGATGGCCATCTGGAGCCACAACTGCCTCTCCTCCCAGACCTCGGACTCACTCTGTCTTCTTTTTTAAAAATATATATATATATATCTTTATTGATTCATAGAGAGGAAGGGAGAGGGAGAGTTGAAACATAAGTGATGAGAGAGTCATCATTGATCAAGCTGCCTCCTGCATGCCCCCCACTGGGGAATCAAGCCCACAACCCGCGCATGTGCCCTGACCGTGTATGAGACCGTGATCTCCTGGATCCTAGGTCGATGCTCAACCGCTGAGCCATGCCCAGCTGGGCACTCTGTCTTCTTGCTGTCAGTCTCTTTCCTTCCCAGGTCTCCCTAGCACACACACACACACACACACACACACACACCAATTCCCTTCACCTTCACCGCCTGTCCAGGTCTCCGCTCAGGACAAGTGTTGGCTGGCTGCCCCACCTCTCATAATGCCCCATGCCCCCCTCCTTCCTGCCTAGGCCCCAAGCCTGGGCCCCAAGCGGAGCCCAGGCTGATGCAACCTGTCCACCAGGCAGGGGGTGGGGACTGGATTGGAGACCCCAGCCCCCGACGCTGAAAACTCTCTGCCATAACTCTGAATACCCTCACTAGAGGCCAGAGACAATTCCCCAACCGAGCCCCCTTCCAGGAACAGAAGTGACTCAGGAAACCCCTCTTAATCCCCCTTTTAGGGACCAGAGGCATTTTCTAGGTCCCCTGTCAAGTCTTAAACACTCTTCTGGCAGAAGTAACGGTAGAGACACTTCCAGAGTTGAGATCCTTCCTGGGCTTGGGGTGTCTCAGGAATCTGGCCTGAGCCCTAATCCCCCCTCCTGAGGAGGAGCTGTCTCTGAGACCTTCATCAGAAGCCCCCTCCAGGACCTGATGTGTTTCTGGAGTGTGGGGTGTCTCTGTGATCCCCAGGTCAGTCTACAGTCCCTGTCTTCTGGATGGAATGTCTCTGAAGAAACCGTCAGCCCTGAGCTCACTTCTGGCAAATACGGTATCCCAGAAACCCCCATTCTAGGCCCCCATCATTGCTAAAACTACCTCCAGGAGACCCCTGCCCCAAGCCCTGAGTTCCTTTCCTGGGAAGGGGAGGGCTCTCGTGGAGCCCCATCCTCAGCCGTAGGCACCCTCTGAGAACTCTACCCACTCCCAAATTTACTTCCTGGGAACAAGGTACCAAAGGACTTCCCTTACCATTCAATTCCCCACTAATGCTAAAAAGGTCTCCAGGGAACCCCTGAGCCCCCTCCCGGAACCCCTACTCGTGCCTTGGGTTCTCCAAAGCTCCCCACCCCAGCCAGCGCCCCCTCCTCACCTCCTTGCTCCTGTCAGCTCCAGAAGCGGCAGGACTCAGACTAGGGCTGGGGGACGCCGCAGCCGCGGGGCTCCCGCTCACTGGGTAGTGCCGCGTCTCCGCTCAGTGGCCAATCAGCGCCTAGGCGCTTGCTCGGTGGCTAATCAGCACAGCTGGCGCTCCATCTGGCCCGCGAGTTTTAATTTTGTTTCCCTCTTTGTGGTTCTGAACCCAGGAAGTAGTGGGGAGAGGCGGGCGGCCCCTCATCTGGACCCACATGGAGGGAGACTGAGGTGTGTGGGGGTCTTGGACAGAAAGATTGAGGGGGCAGATCCACACCCAGAGAAAGGGCCAGGCAGGCGGAGAGAACTGACTCAGGAATCAGCCACACAGTGGGATGGATGAATGGAGGGAAAAGATGCAGAGAGGAGCGACAGAGATAGTTGGAGAAACAGCCACAAATAGAGACAGGCAGGCACAAGGACAGACAACAGAGAGGACAGAAAGATAGGGTGTGGGAGAGTGGTAGACTGGCAAAGAGGCATTCATGGGGAGAAAGAGACTACAGACAGACTCAGAAACAAACAGGAGGTAGGCCCATGCAAGCACCTGGAGGAAGGAACAGGCAGTCAGGCCCAGTAATAAACAGGAGACACAACAGGCAGATAGGTGGGCACAGCCAAACACATCTCCAAACAGAGGTTCGGGAACAGACGCACCAGCCCAGAGAGACAAGGGGATACAGGGAGTCATGGAGGCAGAGAAACACCTGAAGGGACAGATAACAACAGGCAGAGAAAGTCAGATTCAGGCAGAGGGGGAGACAGGGTGGATGGACAGACCTGGGAACAGCAGTGGGAAAAATGCAGGGATAGACAGACACACCCAGGCCACTATAAGCTAACCTCAGACAGACAACCAAGAGAGGACCCTAGATCTTGGAGGTCCCCAGAGAGAGGCAGGGAAGACATTTGTGGTTGGATGGGGAGTGTAGACACACAGTCTGCAAACTAGGCATGCCCTGAAGTCCTGGACCCAGGCCAGGCATTGGGTGGAGTCTGTTCATACCCTAACTGAGAAGCTCCACTGTCTGTCTGCCTGTCTTGTATGGGAGTCCGTCTGTTCACTCCCATCCAGGCATGTGACAGGCATGTCTGTCCAAAGCAAGGCATGTGTCTCCTGCAGGGAGTCAGTTGGGGTAGACTTGGGGTCCTGGCCCAACTCTACTGGGCTGCTTGAGGCCCTGGTGGACAAAAGGCCTCTGTCTGGGCCCCTCCATCCGTGTGCCCACCTCCCACAGCGAGCACGGAATTCCAGGAAAGGCCAAGGGCCAGCTGGGGTTCAAAGCTAGCCTAGATGCTCCCACCCCAACTGCAGTTGGAGGCGGGCAAGGGATGGGACATTTACTTCCCCACAGCAGTAGAAAGACTCCCCCACACTCAGGGATAATAGCTCCATAAAGGGCTCAGAGATGGAGGCAGACTTGCCATCACTCACAGAGATACAAACTTGCATGCAGACCCACAGCCACACACACAAAATATATGCTGATAAATATGAATAAACACAGACTGCACACATAGAGCCCAGATCATGGAAGTCACACACTCACAGCCACACAGAGTGACTTGGTCTTATGGACATCATCACCCACAGCCTCAGACCACACCCAGAAAGCAGAGAGTAGCACAGGGATAGGCTCACACCGAGCCACTATAGGTTCATGGACATTGTCTCCCACAGATTCACAGCCACACACAAAGTGCACAGACAAATCTGGTTTCACACAGCCAACAACATCATACACAGGCCCAGTGTCTCCCATACACTTCCAGGTTCAGAGGGCCCTGGAGGCCAAAGTCCAGATTCAGGCTCTATAATGACACCTCTGTGCATATGAACTCATGTGTGAATTTGTGACCACATCCAGCTCTCATCACAGAGAGAAGTACTCAGAGTAGACATGATTGTACAGACAGAGAAGCCTTAGCCACAGACATGCACACAACTGCCTTCAAGCACACAGCTATTGACAAATCAAATCAGAGAAGAAACACGTGGGGAACACATAGACGTACAACCAGGAAAACCAGAATGTAGAGAGTACTCTTCCTATTGTTACAAAAAGGAAATCCAGAAAATACACCTAAAGCTGCATAAAGAAGAAACAAGGGAACCAGATAGTGCTCGTACAGTGGCACCAAAAGAAACACCCATAGGGCCCTGGTCGGGTATCTGTTGGTTAGAGTGTTGTCCTGATACGCCAAGGTTGTGGGTTCGATCTCCAGTAAGGGCACATTCAAGAGTCAACCAGTGGCCCAGTCGAAATGCCTCTGTGATTGAGTGTCGACCCACAAACCAGGAGGTCACACAGCTCGGTTCCCAGTCAGGGCACATGCCTGGGTTGTGGGCTCAATCCCCAGTAGGGGACATGCAAGAGGCAGTCAACCAATGACTCATCATTGATGTTTCTATCTCTCTCTCCCTCTCCATTCCTCTCTCTGAAACCAATAAAAACATATTTTTTTTAAAAAGAAAAGAAAATGCACATTATTGAGCCCCACCTCCTAAATCAGAATCTGAGCATAAGGTACAGATATCTGTATTTAAAACAAAAAGAATCATGCCCTAGCCAGTTTGGCTTGATGGTTAGAGCATCGGCCTGCGGACTGAAGGGTTCTGGGTTCTATTCCAGCCAAGGGCACGTACCTGGGTTGCAGGTTCTATCTTCAGCCCCATTTGGGGCATGTGTGTGCGAAAACCAATCGGTGTGTCTCTCTCACATCGATGTTTCTCTCCCTTTCTCTCTCTCTCCCTCCCTCCCTTCCACTCTCTCTGAAAAGCAATGGAAAAAATATCCTTGAGTGAAGATTTTTTTTAAAAAGAATCAACCAATGAATGCATAAATAAATGGAACAACAAATCAATGCTTCTCCCTCCCTCTCTAAAATAAAAATCAATAAATAAAAAAGAGAACAACCTAAAAAAAGAAACACCCATAGAGTACACATACCTACAGCCAGCCACTCACTGAGGAAACAGAAGGAGACAGAAGCACAGTGGCAGAGAAGAAACACACACATATGTAAGAGACACACACACACACACAGGAGAGACAAATAAACACACTAATCACCCACAAGCATTACAAAGGAGACACATAAACATTCAAGAAACACACACACACATACACACAGCCCCATATAGATGAACTGCCAAAGCAGACAGTACCAACACACACATAGGTGCCAAAAAGGAAACACACAAATTGAACAGGCAGTCATAGACACAAGATACAACCGGGTGATATAACCACACAAGTTACATAGGAAGACACATGTGAAGCTCACATATATATGTTTGTGGCTGAGAATATGTACAGGAGATTAGATGCTTTTGGGGTATTTACACACACACACACACACACACACACACACACACACCCCCCTGTCTATCCTGGCCTACTCTGATGTCTCTCTCTTCTGATACCCCTCCTCCCCCCAGAGCCATTACACATCTGTGCTATAAGCAGGCCAGGGAAAGAGTCACTTGTCAGCAAAGGCCTTTGCCCAGATGGCTAAGGGGGTGGGGAGCTGAGCTAGACAGCTGTCTAGATTTCAAGAGAAGTCTGAAGTGTCCTGCCCAAAGAACTAGTGTACCTTGGACAAAAGAACACATACCCCCATCTACCACCTCCCTTCAGCAGCTTCCTGCTCTAATCACTCCCCTCCCCTCCCAGGATCTTCCAGGCCCTCCAACATTGCCAGTACAGGGCCACCAGACACACAGCAGGTGTTCAATAAATGCCACTTAAGTGTCATATTATCATTATTATTTTGTTTATTTCTGCCAAGTGAACTCTTCTAGGAGCAGGACTAACCTTTATCCAGCTCTATACCCCATAGCTCAGCTAAGTGGCAAGGCACTGCAAATAACAGGTGCTCAACATATGCTGGTAGAAGGGAAAACAAAGGGAAAGTGAAATCTGCCTGCAGAGGGAAGCCTGCTTAGAAAGGAGCAGATGTGCCCAGCCGGTGTTGCTCAATGGTTGAGCATCAACCCATGAACCTGGAGATCACAGTTTGATTCCCGGTCAGTGCACATGCCTGGTTATGGACTCCAACCCCAGTATAGGGTATGCAGGAGGCAGCCGATGATTTTCTTTCATCATTGATGCTTCTATCTCTCTCTCCCTCTCCCTTCCTCTCATTGAAACCAATAAAAACATTTTTTTAAAAAGAACAGATGTTTTTAAACTTGACCTAAGTATTGAGGCTGTGTCAGGGATAAGAATACTTTATTAGTTCATCACAGTAGGGCCCTTTCTCAGGGTCATTTAAGGGTTTTGTTGGTTCAAGAAAGCAGATCCTTGGGTGACATTTGGAATTCCTACTGAGTCTCTTAAAAGTCAGTTTGGGTTCTTGTCAGTTCTTGCAAGCAGATCCCTGCTTTTCATTAAAACAAGTCACTCCTCAGCAGCCTTCAGGGGTGGAGGGGGCAGCAGAGCAAAGCAGTTAACAGAGCGAGCTTTCCCAGCTCTGCCACCTTCTAGCTGTGTGACCAGGAGCAACTTCTGAAACCTGACAGTTTCAGCTTCCCCCAGGGCATGATAATGCCTGGGGCCATTGGTAAGGTTGAATGAATACAGGTAAATCACTTAGAACAATGCTTAACAGCACAGTAATTGCTCAATAACATATTTGTGAAAGGAATTAATGAATTCTACTCCCGCTGTAAAAGCAGCCCCTCACTGGCTGCATTTAGGATTCTAATCTCCCCTTTCAAGCAGGCTCCCCACTGAGTAACTCTTTGGTCCCTCAAAGCAGTCCCAGGGTAGCAAGACTTTTAAGTCAGTGTCTAGCCCCTACACCTAGACCACCTGTGTCTTTCCTTTGAGTGGTGAGATGCTCTCCAGTACAGAGCTGACCTGGCAGCTTCCTCTCTTTGACCTCTTCAGGAGGCCATGGAGAGGACACCTTTACACTCAGTGGGTGTTAGGTGGGAGCTGCAGGCTGACACCCTCCTTCAGGAAGAGCCTGGGGAGTTCAGAGCCTGGTTCCTGTCCTCCTATCCCTTGGCCCTGCTGGAGGAAGCAAGTTTCTTTGCAAAAATTTAAACATCCTCTCTGTGAGAGGCAAGAAAACAGGATGTGGGAAACATCCCACAGGGTGAACATGGAACCCCAATGGCCGGCACCCCCTCCTCTCAGTGGAGCAGTGGCTGGTGGCTGGAACCCTTGCTTTCTCACACTTGCTCACTTCTGCAGGCAGCCTTGTTCCCATGACCACCATAAGGCTCTTGAGCTCCCCTGACAAGTTCTTCCTTCCTCCCTGGTTCTCAGGGGCTCCAGGAGGTGTCTCTCCATGTCTCTGTGTATGCCTGCCATCTGTCTACACGTCCCAGGTTCCACATAAATGCATAACACACCACTGAGGGGAAAATGAAGGAAAAAAGCAACAAAAGGGTGGATTCAGCAAACATGCTACCCAACAACCACTGTGTGCCAGACCCTATTGTAGGTGCCCACGAGGCAGCAGTGAACAAGACAGAACAGAAATCCCTGTCTAGTGAAGTTCACATTTCTTAGGAATGATGATCCAATAGTTCAGTTCTTTGTTCCCACTTCAGGGTCTTTGCACTTGATGTTCCCTCTGCCTGGAATGCTCTTCCTCCAAATTTTGGTAGGGTGCGCTCCCCTTCAGGTCTCAGCTCCAATGTCACCTCCTCAGAGAAGACTTCCCTGACACATAACTGAAACAGCAGCTCAATCCCTCTCTTATTCTCCATCCTTTTCACCCTACCTTATTATTCTTCATAGCTTCTACACCACCTGATGTAACATTATATATTTACATATTTAATAGTATATTTATATTTAGTACAGTTACCTTAGTAAGTAAATGTATATAGATAATAGCATATTTATATACAGTATGTGCACTTATATAATACATATATATTTTATATATACACTATATAAAATGCATAAATAGATACTATTATATCTTTTCTTATATTTACATATAATAGTATATTAATATTTATTATATTTGATTAATAACATGTAATGTATATAGTAGTAAATATTATATATCTCTATATTTCTATATAATCACATACATATTAAATAGCATATATATTTATATACCTTATATATTTACATATATTTGAGAACAAGAGGTTCTCAAATAACTTCCTTTTGTTCAGTGTTGTTTTGTTATACCATTGATGAGGGGGAAAAATCAATTCCCAGCTAGGGCCATTATATGGAGTTCACATGTTCTCCCCACATCTGATGGGTTTTCTCCAGGGACTCCAGTGTCCTCCCACATCCCAAAGATATGCACATTAGGTGAATTGGCATGTCTAAATTGCCCCAATCTGAATGGGTGTGGGTGTGTATGCAAGTATGTCCTGTAATAGAAGGGCATCCTGTCCAGGGTTGGGTCCCATCTTCCACTCTGAGCTGTCCAGATAGGCTCTGGCGACCATGACCTGGAACTGGAATAAGCAGATTAGAAAATAATTATCTTATTTGTTTTTATTAATCTTTCTTAAATGTATAAATAACTCACATTTATTTCAATGTTTAATATTAGAAGTGTTTTGGGTCTTTATTTTAGAAGTTTGGTGATGTTTTAGTGACCAGAAATATGCTGTAGGAACTTAATTCTTGTTATAGCAATTAGCCTATGGTAAAATTGGTTTTGTTCATTATATGTCATTTCACTTAAAGTCCCAGTTTCCAAAAACATATCTACACTATTAAGGGAGGACTTACTATATATATCCTCTCTTGTCTCCATTTCCTCATTTATAAATTACAGATAATTATAGTAACTACCTCATATGGTTGTTATAAGGATTAAAATGAGTTCAAGGAAAGGATTCAGCAGTGCACTGGAGCCTACTTGTACAGTTTGCAGATTGCTTGTTCAATTTTCCGGAATTTTGTGAACTGGTTTTTAAATATAGATATTATTAAAAATAAAATGATATAAACTTACAATTAAATAAATTATAATTTTTAAATATGATAAATACTCAAAACTCATCACTTCCTTATTTTACTACATTTCACTATTCACTATGCCCTTGAGGTCATTTACCCCTATTTTAACTGTAAGGTAGAAATATTACATAATGGTGCACTACTGCATCTCCTCTGTGTTCTGTGACTACATATTGGTAACTTGAAATCTAGCAAGATGATAGTTGAGTAAACCATGAAAATTGGCAAATGTTTGAATTCAGGGCTTCCTCCCCCTCTCCCCTCAAAGAGTTGGTTGTTAACCATTTACCAGCACACCACTGAGAGCACTTAGAATAGTGCCTGGCACATGGTAAACTGTATAAGTGTTTCCATTATATTTGCTTTTCCACTGAGTGGGGATGTATAGGGTTTTTTTGTGGGTCAGAGTTAAAAATGTTTGAAGAACACAGAATTACACAAGGTCAGGCTGTAACTTCTTTAGTGAAAGGTTTTAAGCCAGCCTTGTCCATTGTTCTTGTGCATCTATGTTAACACACCTTTGAAATATCAGAAGTAATACCCTTCAAAAGGAGTATTAACCCCCAAGAGAGCACATAAACTTAACTATCTTGTAATCCAATCCCTGCCTTGCTTTCTCCAACCTTCCATGTACGTTTTCCTCTTAATTTCAATTGCATAAAAGAAGCTGCAAAACTGTTATCCTTGGGCGCATTTGTGATCTTGCTCCCCAGCACATGTTGTCAGCACATGGCTCAAATAAACTCATAAAATCCTCTACAGGTTTGGACGTATCTTACAGGGACACATATTTATTTCTCCCAATAACTCTGTGAAATCTGTAGTACTTATTAGCTCCATTTCACAGATGGAGAAACTGAAGTTCTAAAATGGTACAGTTCAGGCAGCAATATCACGTTGGGGAAGTGAAATTCAAATAATCAGAGAGATGCAAGTTAAAACCACAATGAGGTATCACTTCACACCTGTCAGAATGGCTGCCATCAACAAATCAACAAACGACATGTGCTGGCGAGGGTGTGGAGAAAGGGGAACCCTAGTACACTGCTGGTGGGAATGCAGACTGGTGCAGCCACTATGGAAAACAGTATGGAGGTTCCTCAAAAAATTAAAAATGGAGCTGCCTTTTGACCCAGTGATCCCACTTCTAGGACTATATCCTAAGAATCCTGAAACACTAATCAGAAAGAATATATGCACCCCTGTGTTCACAGCAGCACAGTTTACAATAGCTAAGATCTGGAAACAGCCCAAGTGCCCATCAGTAGATGAGTGGATAAAAAAG